TTAAAAAAAACCATTTTTATTAATAATATTTCATTAAACAGAAAAAAATAATAATGTTTACTTGTAAATTTATGTTCTCTTCAGCAATTTGTACAACTTTAGACTCAAGATTATTAACCTTATTAGGATCAATATTTTCTTTTTCAGCAAGTTTTGATTCATACAAATTTAATAAATTCTTTAGATATTCTGTTGAATCTTTCAGATTTTTTATCTGAAATATGACATTAAGTTAGATAATAAATAAAATTAAACTAAAATAATGAATGTACTTCTTGATTTTGTTCATCAATGATTTGAAAACATTGTTTGTGTTCTGTTGTTATTTTTTGAAGTTTTTCTTGTAGTTGAGAGGTAGCCAAATTAACATTATCATTTTTTAATACTCTTAATTCATCAATTTTCATTTTAGCAGTAGTTAAATGATCACTCTTTTCAGTCAATCTTGATCTCAACATTTCAATTTCTGATTCCAATTTCTATGATCATTTATCCATAATAATGTTTTGAATAATCACACATAAGGCCTTATTAAATATTATTTTACCTTGATAAGTTTATTTAGTTTATTAACTGTCATTTGTTGATCCGATTCATGCTTAAAAATAGCATCTTCCGATTTGAAAAGTCTATTTAAACGCTCTTGTAATCTAATAAATACATCATCTAATGTTGCAACTATTCGAGCAGGAGAACTATTCTTTTCAATGATTATTTTATTGGGTAACTCACATCGTTCCCTAAGGGTAAAAACAAAAACAATAAATTCTAAAACTTAATTCAAAATTAGTTATATAACATACGCAACAGATATATCTTCAGACATAGGTGAGCAACATTCTTCAGAAACCCAAAAAGTATCAAGATCTTTAATGCGCTTCGAAATAGTTTTTTCTACATCTTTCAGCTAAAAGAAGAAAAAAGAAAGCAATGATATAGTTATAAATATTATAAAAACAATTTGATAACTTACTTGCAATCTAATTTTGTTAATAACAATTTCAATATCAGCAAATTCAGGACAATCACTACAACTTTGTTCTTCCGACAGATTTTTCACACGGTTAAGCTTTAAAGAAAAATACCAATTTCAAAAATAAAGCTTTGTGGATATCTTAATATTCTAAATTATAAATCTAAAATATAAAAATTAAAATCATGCAAATTTTTTATCTTTATAAATTCAGATTATACCTTCAATTAACAATGGAATTGGGATATTTGAGACATAAATAAATTACAAAATTTTAACTTTGGAAACCATATAAGAAATGAGAAGATATAAGAAACATACTTCAGCCATTATTTCTTGTTCATGATTTTGTTCTTCTTCTAACATATTTGTCAATCGATTGATTAAGTTTTTTTGAGACTCTTCATTTTTTTTCAAAGATTCAATTCGGTCTTCCAAGTTTCCAACAATCTCTTTTAATGATTTAATTTCTAGTTTAGATGCAGTCAATAGTTCTTCAGTTTTTAGTCGTCTATTTTCCAACATTAAATATTTTTCTTCAGCCTCAGTGACAACTTTTTCAGTCTAAAAATAGTTATAATTTACAATAAATAATAGAAAAAAATAAATAATAAGAATACAATACATGTGTTCTAAGATCCTCAGTATTTAATGATTCCCTTTCTTTTTCTTTTAATTGGCATTTTAATAATTCTAACTTAGAATCGAATTCTTCTCTTTCAGCCTCACGTTCAGCAGTTTGGTCTTTTATAAATTGTTGAGACGACATAAGTCGTCTATCTGCTACAAGCAACTATACAATTTAAGAATATTAACAATTTTAATTTTACTAGTATTCAAAATTAAGAAAACTAACTTGTTGAGCAAGATCATCTTTTTCATTTTTGATGATGTCAATAATTTTGTTACATTCAGTAGAAAACTCATAAAATATATTTTGTAAACTAGGCCACTCATTAAAACTTTTTATGACTTCTTGCGCTATAAATGTAAATTATTTTAAAAATTGATTTTTATTGTAGCAAAAATTTTAATTTTTATACCTTTTTGTAGCAATATTAATAAATGTTCATTTTCAATATCATTGTATTGTATTTTAGGATTAGCAGAGGATATTTGTTTTTCTAGTTGGTCCTTCAATGAAGAATTTTCTTGCTGAAGTATAGATTTTTCCATAAATATTTTTTTATAATCAGACTTTTGCTTTTCAAGTTCCTATGTAAAATATTAATACATGTTAATGACTTACAACTTAAATTTTTCTTTATTTTTTAATTTGAAACATATATTTATAAATAAATATTTTGATATATAATAATATTAAACGTTATAATGTGTTAATAAATAATATATATATATATATATTTTTTTTGTTGATGGAAATAATATCTTTTAAAATTCAAAAGTAAAATCATCACAACATATTTTTTATTATTTTTACTGTACAAAAATTTTATAAGTGAAAAATAAGGTTATTTTAACTAAATACTCTTAAATTAATGGTAAATTAGTAGAAGGAAAATATCTATGAAAATTAACCACAAAATATTTAACTATATCTATCACTTGTACCCTTGCTTTCTAGATGGCGGATGTAATGCTGATTCAAAAAAAAATTCTTATTCAAATCACTTAGAAGCAACCATAGATATAAACTGTATTACAACTTACTTTTTTATAATAATCAAGTTTTTTATCAAAAAATGTTTTATGACAAATATCTTCTTCATTTGGACACAGTAATTTTTGTTCATTGTTAATTACTTCTAAATTAAATTAATATGTAATATTATATAAATATATTAGTTGATATATTATATTAAATAGTATTAAATACCAGATAATGCTGCAGCTTCTTCATTTAATTTTTCTAAACATGCATTCAATTTTAAATGGTTTATTTCTTCGTTAGTTCCATCGGTATTAGTAAAATCAGCTAATATTGAGTTTTCATCAATTAATGATACTATTTCTTCAATATTTGGAATAAAATGTACTCTTCTAGAATTTTTAACTCCATTTACAGAATTTTTAAATTCATCTATTGATGCAATAACATGCCTATCACCAGCATCAGAAATTCCATCACATCCCATTCCATTCACATGATCTACAATTGAATTATTTAGTTCTTCTTGCTTTGTAATTAGAAAGGAACATAAGTATTTAGATAACTGACGAAGGGACATAGCTACAGAACGTAAATCATCTCTGAAATAATTTTATTTATTAATGTTAAATATAGTATTTAATGCTTAAAAGAATTTAAAAAATATTCATAAAATATTACTAACCTCTCTTGCACAATATCTTCAAGATCTTTGATTTGCATATCAATACTATCCTGGGATAAAACCTACAAATATTGATGGAATATATATTTATGAATTGATAGTATATTTACTTTAATTTAATCTGAAATTAATTAATTTTTAAACATACATAGTCAGAAGTTTCAATGTCTGTATCAGGTCCATTTAGATTGTTTCTAATCAATTTGGGATCACATGAATCAATTGATGACAATCTATCATCATCAAAAGAAGAACTAATAATTGTCTAAAAAAAAAAAAAAAATTATAAATAAGTAATATAATTTTAAATTTTTTAAATTAAATTATTACCTTTTTAAGTTTGTAAATTTCATTTACTAAATATGCAACTATTTTCTTATGTTTTGCTTGAGTTTTTGTAATATCATCTCCAATACGTTTTGTTAATACATCTAAATCAGAATCATTTAGATCGTTTAGACGCCTCTCACACTGTTCTTTTAATTCAATAATTTCATGCTCATGAATGTTTTTAATTTTGTTCAATTCAGTTTCATTTAAAGATTTCAATTTGGAAATCTCTAATGAATTTTTCTCATATATTTGTTTAATTTCATCTCTATGATTATTTTGTAATATATCTAATTCAGCTTGGTGTTTTTCACATACACGTTGCAACTCTTTTTTATAAGCATCATGTACAGACTCCAACTCCATGATTTATTGTTTTCCTAAAACTAAAATGTATCCAAATGTAGAAAGTACTAATACTATGTAAATTCCTTGATGGATGGCATCAAAACAAAAATCACTACGGCAACATAATACTAATTTATTGATTTATTATTAATAGTTAAATATAAATTCTTAATTATGAAGTATAATATTAAAATTCATACTACCTAAATTAGTCATAGTGTACTGGAAGGTAAATCATATAAAAAAAAAAATAAAATAAAATGAGTAATCTGAGTAGTAATTAATGCTTTAAAATTCACAATTCATTACTATTTAAAAATGTAAAAAGAATAATTCAATTTTTCTTTAGAATAAAATAATGTTAATTAGTCAGCAAATAATTATAGAAGCACAACACTTTGATCTCTAAACTGACCAACTCAAATATATCGTCTGAAGTACCATTAAATTTTGCATTCCGAATATATTATTTCATTGTTATTTAAAATTACACAACACAACTTTACAACACGTTTTATCTCTTATCGTTGATATTTATAACTGTCAGCTATGGAAAAATAAAAATAAATATCAACATCAAGGAACATTGATATTGCCGCCATTTTTTCAAATTATTTTTTCATACATTTTTGAGTTACGATTCTACAAAGTGCAAAACCGTAAATACTAATAAACTCTTCTAAATATTATTCTTAATGGTCGTATCCTCAAATGTTAACCAACACCATCCAGTCAAACTAGACTCAAAGCTTAAAAGTTATTGATTTTTCATATTCAAACTCTTTCTGACCTTGTTGTATACCACGGTTTACAATACACAATTTATCATATCATATATAATATATTACCGTGCTGTACACTCCAATGCCATGGATTAGAAAATTTTAATTTTATAAAATAATCTGCCGTCGTTTAAATGTAAATGTCTTAAAAAAAATTTTCCATTTATGCTTCTGTGATTTAATTTAATTTTTCCAGCGAAGGCAGAAGAGTGTACAGTTTTATTTTATTGTATGTTTTTATTTTTATACAGTTAAACAAAAGTCGAATTAAATTGTACTGGGATCTCAAAAACATTTTTTTTTAAATAAATTGTATAAATAATTATTACCAAATAGATAGATATTTTCTACACTTATTATTGTACAAAGTCATATCACAAGAAACAAACATTTTGTATCCGTTTTGCTCACTGTATAGATTATGCAAATGACATATAAATTAAAAAAAAAAAAAATCATAAGAAACGCAATATGTATCTTTTTAAACTAATAAAACTAATACAATAAAAATGTAAAATGGTGGAGCCATAAATAATATGTTAACCATGATTAAATAACTATATATATATATCATGTTTTGTGAATCTATGATGATAGCTAATAAATGTTTTCAATGTTACGTATCTATTCTTACTGATTTACATTATGTATGAACATTGATACATATACAACGGTGTCAGGAAGTTCTTAGCACCCCCAGATTATTTTGAGGTAAAAATATTGTTTAAAGAGAATTATTTTGCATTGACATAGCACTTGTGCCACAAACGTACAATGTACATACATACGTATGTATAACGTTATACATGTATGTATGCAGTAAGAGTATTAGGTATTTGTGTTTATGTTACCTATGCATGTGATACTGTGATGATGGTCAAGTTTATTGCTGAAATACCATTTAGGATAGGTATTGGTTTTATTTATCGTCTACAGGTTTGATCGCTTATTGATAAAAAATAGTGATGTTTATTAATACTATTTAGTTATAATACATAAAATTGCTACATTTATAATTAAATGGTGAAACTAAAACATTTTTTGCCAAGTAAAGGTATTGGGTTGTAGGGGGTTTTGCTCTCCATAGATTATCTTGGGGTGGATAATTTTAGTACTGCTAAATTTTATATTGAATGTGCATCTACGTATATGAGCTGAGCTTAAATCCCAGTATAGTATATCTACTTTATAATTATACTCTTCTGTGATATACGCTACAGCATACAATTATAACCAATGTTATAAGTAATTGGAGACTAGAATATTAGTGAACATTGAAGTAAGTGCTAAGTAATATATGGAAATTATAAAACATTTTTACATTCATAAGCTATATATATATATATATATACCATAAAACATTTTAGGTAAATTAAACATATATTTGCCGAGAGTAAATTTCCCATATATACATAAATTTAGTTTGTACAGTCTGTGGTTTATATCTTACGAATATAGTATATTATACATATGTACTAGTGATGGGCATAACCGAATTATTCGGATTATTAGTTATACTTATAAAATACTACCGATTAATAATAAGCACGACCGAATAATTCAGACTATCGAATATTAGTTACAGTTTTAGAAATACTACCCACTAATAAACTAATTATTATTACTATTCGTTAGTCGACTAAATTATTCGTCAACTAATATTTATGTCATAAACCGACTAATAAACTTATTCAATACAACCGATTTAGTCGGTGGTTATTAGTTACTCATGCCCATCACTAATAAGTACTCAATATGAACATTTCTGAGTCTTCAATACAAATTAGAAGGTAAATTAATCGTAAGCTTTTAAATATAACTGTGTCCACGTAATTGAAGATGAATATTCATCTACTCTTTTCAAATTAATAGAATTAATGTTAATTTCATTTCAGTAACCAGTAGGTATGTTCAAAGATTTCAAAGATTTTTTTTGGAAGGTTTTGTTTGTTAGAATAATTTAAAACTTTGATTTCCTAAACCCTTTTATGCCTACCGCACACGTTTATTTATCATGATTCCAAATAACCTAAAACGAACCTATGAGTAGTACGATTCATCAAAGATGTCTACGATATAACGCATTAGGTAACTTAATTGTGGTATGAATACAAGAAAAATTTCGCACGCATCGATTTCGTTGAATAACAATTTATACAGAATAGTTATGCTTAGGAACATTGCCAATACACGGCGTTATGTCGGCAAAATAGAAAACGTTGACGAGCATTTATAACGAACCGCCGTAGGATCGTAACCTCAAAAAGTAGCGAGATCATATGTTGGTTGGTATAAGGTATAGAGTAGTAGTACTACTCTATGGTACAAGGTCGTGATCGAATACCACGATTCGTCGCAGTCTGTTCGCAAGTGTTACGAACGAATCGTCTAAGACCAAAAGCACGTGAGCGGATGACCTGATGTAAATAAAAGCACCGGTCCGGCGTTTTCCTCGTAGGATTTTCTTCTCCAAGACGACCTTTGCGACGTTGTCGTCATAACGATCACCTCGATTGGTCGCCACCGATCAAGGTCGTGTCCCTTAGCCCAATCGGACGTGGCGTAAGTTGATGCGACGCACGGACGGCCGGCAGTCGGGCCAACTGCGCGGGATCGCACACTGTCGGTCGGGTGGTGGTGCGAGGCGGCGGGTGACGAGACCAGAATCTATGCTACACATACTACTCACTGCCAGCGCTGTGCCGCACGAAAAAGATACGCACACGCGCAGCGACTGGTTATACACAACGGACATACGCATACACATAACGTATACAGATAAATACATACGTAAACTCGCGTACATATGTGCGCGAGCGTGCTTGTATTGTATGTACACACACACACACATATATATCTATATATACATATATAATATGTAATGTTTTTTATTTTTTCATTTTACTCTCCCGCGTTCGCTCCCTCTCGCCCATCGGTCTGTTTTTCACTCGATCGCGCGCGCGCGCTCTCTCTTTCTATCTGCCTCGCTCGCACGCGTACACGCACAGTCATTTTCTTCATACACTCTGCGATGTCTCGCCTCGTGTTGCGTTCACACGTTTCGCGTCGCAACGTAACGTTTGCCGATTTGCACGACGACGTCGTAGCCGCCGCCGAACGATTGTGAAAAACAATACCATGGAATGGTAGTGCGGAACACTACTGTAACGGACCACCACCACCACCACCACCACCACCAACATCACCAACGCGGCGATCATGGACAACAATGCTACACAGGTACGTTTTCCTAACGTTATTATCCACTGTACTTGGGGAAGGTTTGTGTCCTCGGTGACCGCTATAGCCGGCCGGTCAGCGGTGACACACGTGGCGCGTCGACTGCGGTTATGTTTGCGACAGCGATAGCTTGCTTTATGTCCTGCCGTACATAACACTTATGTTTCGGTTGACGAGTTCGCTGCCACATCCGTCTGTAACGGTGGTCGTGATGGTTGCCGTTTAATTTAGTCGCCTACATTTCCTAATACATATGGTCACCGGCGTGCTTAAAGGATTTCCTATAAAATAGTCGGAACTCCAATGTTCTTCCCGTAACTTGTTAACTAGTCGTTTTGCTTTCTTCGGTTTTTTTGAGGTTATGCGGTTCTTGTGAGATAGCTAGTGTGTTATTGTTGAGAAATGCTTTTGGATCAGTTACAAAAGAAATTTAAAAGCGTTCTTTTCTGTTAATGCCTTGTTGTGTGTTGTGGTGTGCATCTGAAATGCCGGCTTGTACATTCTATGAATTCATTACTTCAGCGGTTCTTTCATGGTATTAATTTAAAAGCGTTTATGACAATAGGTTCACATTCAACTGATTGCAATTGCCAGATGTCCATTCTATGAACCACTATAATGGTGATTTTTTTATCAGAATATATTAATTGTTGATTTTAAATGTTTTGTTTTCATTCATAGGTACAAAATAAAATTTTAAAATTAAATATCAACTTGCCACGACTCATATTGGCTATTGGCCATCATATGCATACCATTGCCTATTGTTAATGCTTTAACAGTCATTAAAGTTAAATTTAACTATAGGTATCCTAACTGTTTACACACTAGATTAATTATGTGATCTATGAATAAAACCTTTTGTATTCTATGTTGTAGTCTGTCTTCTGCAGACAAATTGCTACATACTAATTGTACTAATAGGATTGAATATCATCCCTAAATTAATAAAATGTCACTTGTTCTATTTTGTAAATATTTAAGGTTATGTTCAACATAACAAATCATTCCTAAAATTGCCATTATGACTGAGGTATGTATATTAAAGATAATTCACTAATGGTTTTAGTGTTATTAAGTTATATTTATTTTTAAAAGTTGATTAAAAGTCGATCAATAATTTTATTTTCCATAATATTTTGATTAGTTAATAAAATCAATTTAAACTTATAATTTTCCACATTTGAGTCAGCATTTAGTAATTATAATTTACTATAAGCGTTACAAAAGTGGTAAATTAAGCTTTATTACTTCTTAAGTATTGTTTTAATACCTATGAAAAATAGAAGATTTTCAGACAGTAGATCAACACTAATGTGTATGGCCAGAATAATGAAAATTACATTTATTATTTATTAATTATAAAAATACCTTACTTCTAATAGTTAACGGAACAAATTTAGTTTAGGGGCCAAGCTCATTATCAATTTTTTTCCCCCCTAAATGTGTGTTTTAAGGCATTGAATTTGATGGTGCAATCAAAATTTGCCGCTCTCGTTTAGTTTCAAAGTTATGGCCTTCCAAAGTTTTCGATTTTACGTTTATACACATGCGCGCAACACTACTATAATGACGGGCGGAGGACCATTTTTGTTATTTTTCAGTGACTACCTTGATTTCACTAATTTATATTTAGGCAGACGTGTTAACTTTTAGGGAACGTTTATAACATTGTTATAATTAATTTGTTTATAACATTGAGTGTTGCTTCGATCCGCAGCTCCGTTCGTTTTGCTCAATTCGCAAAACTCCCCTCGCTTGCTCCACAAGCTCGTGTTGCACCCACTCGGCTCTACCGAGCGCATTCAAATCGACAATATCCCCTGACTTCCTATGCAATACCACCTCAAGTAGGTCACAGGGTATATACTACATATTTACATAAGTTTCAAAAAAAAAAAAAAGGTATACCGAATACGTAAGTACAGAAAAATAACATAAATGGTCCTCCGCGCGTCATTATAGTAGTGTTGCGCGCATGTGTATAAATGTAAAATCGAAAACTTAGGAAGGCCATAACTTTGAAACTAAACGAGAGCGGCAAATTTTGATTGCACCATCGTTCTTAACTCGATGAAATACATGAGTTTTGTTAAAAAAAATTGAAAAAATCGCTCGGCCCCTAAACTAGATTTATGCCTAGTTAACATTTACTGTATAAATCTATTTGGTTCCAATGTATGATGTTTATTTTTCTTTACTGTAATTATTAATATTTTTATTTTTTATTTTAGTTTTAATACTTATTAACAAGAACTCATTTTATTTTATTTCGGATAATTAATTAATTAAATCTTGACTATTTTATTTATTTGAATAGAAATTTATTATTTTTATATTATATATTATTATTAATTCAAATGTATTATGCATTTTATACTGTCTTTAATCCCATTAAAATTTTCATGTAAGGTAAGGAGTTTCAATGATACTATTTCCTTATTTTAAAAAAATCTTTCATTATATTGGTTTTTTATCTACCATGTTGTATATCATTTTTTCTATGAATTAACAAAACCATAAAATATTACTTTCGTATATCTTGTTTACTTTCAAAATATATATGTATATAATATAGTTATTAGTCGTGTACTTTGTTGGGTGGTTATAGGAATTTTGCACAATTTTTATTGTTAATTATTGGCTTATTGCCTAAAAAAAAAAAATTGATTATTATTTTAATTGAAAAAGCTTTTAATGTTTGTAAAAATAGATACATAGTAATTTAGATTTAGTATAAATTATAATTAAAAAAAATGTACCTAGGAAATGATTTAAAAATTTAAATTAAAATATATATATACATATATACATATATATATATATATATGTATATATGTATATTTACTTAATTTAAATAAATTATGTTTTTCTACCCAAATAACATTCATGTTTTTTCAGTTACAATAATTTCTAGGATATTTTTTTACTATTGAATATTATAATATAATATATTAATGGAAAGTATAATGATGTACTAAAATGCTATGATAATTTAATTTATATTCAATTTAAGTTATTATTTTTTAAAATACACTTATTAAAAAACTTACTAAAGATATTTTTAAATTTTGCTATAATTTATATATATATATTGGTTGGATTAATTTTTTTACTATATAATACTAATATAATTATTTATATAATCACTAATAATAGTATAATAATTATGAGATTAATAACAAAACAAAAACAGAATATTGTATGACATTTATCTCAATTTAATTATACTTAGGTAATGTATTATATTTATTTGGATATTCCACATTTTATTGATCTAAATAAATTTAAAGTCCATGTTTGAGTCAGCTTATTGTTATTACAATTTTACTATTAAGCGTTATAAATATGGTATATTAATGATTTCCATATATTTATTATCGTTTTGATAATTAAATATTAGCATAATTTTCTGACAGTAGATACTTCATTCAATGTAATTATGAATATCAGAATAATGAAAATTACATTTTTTTATTGAGGTATTACGAGCTATTGAGGCTTAATTCAAATTTTCCTTTTCCTACAATCTATTTGGTATCTTCAACTAAATATTTATTTAATTATCCCTCATATTATATGTATTATTAATTCAAATTGATGTATTTTGTTTGTTTAGGAGTTTGAGTTCCTTGATTTCACAGATATCAATGACATGGAACGAGGCCGTTTACTGCATATGCTGTATTCTGCTCGGAATGAGTCATGGGTTTCTGGAGAAGATGGATTCAAACATCCTGATTTCCCATGGACATTTCGTGGCACCCAGGCTCAGGCACTTCCTCCACCTGGAATAATTAATGAAGTTGGCAACATAACACATATTTCTGATTGGAATACAGCAGCAGAAGAATATGGTATATTAATTCAAGTTATTATTATTAATTTTTTTTAATTGATTAAGATACAGTATTTAAAAATGCATAATATTAGACTGTGGTTATCCAACAGTTAATGGTGATGCTGAGCCTGAAAACCCTGTGATGATAAATGGTGGAAATTTTGTTCCTGGCCCCCCTCCACCTGTTTATCAAATGGTGCCTAATCCTCCAGTATATATGGGTAATGTACCTCCACCAGTACATGGATACGTTCCATCACAAATGTCGCCATATCAACCAATGTATCCTGGACCTGAACTACCAATGGATCCTAATCACAGGCGACCAAATATTTCTAGGAATCCTAAAGGAATACCTCCACCACAAAATGTAAAACGGAATAATGATATGACTTATCGCCATCCAGATAATATGGAAATAGCAAACTACCAAACACCACCAACATATATTGCTGTTCCTCCTCCACATTATTATTATTCACCTCAAAATAGTCCATTATATTTACCACCTCACCATGGACATCCAACATATCCAATGTATACTCATCCACATCCTTCTATTTACAATCCATATCCGCAGCCTGGTCCACCAATGTACCATTCACCACCAGCTGGTCAAGTCCCTCAACAACCTCTTTTAGTTGAATCTTGCAAACCTAATGTTAATCCAATTCCACCTGTACATAATGTTTATCCTCAAGTACCAGAAAATGTTATAAATGAGACAACAGTAGATCCAGAAATCATTTCTATACAACAGGATAAAGAATTAGAACATCAGATTCAATCAGAACATATAAAATTAGAAGTCATAGAAATTAAACCAGAAGAACCAAAAGATGAAAGAATATCTTCTATAAAAGAAGTGCCTATTGTTGTAGATGACAATGCGCCAGTTGTGTCTAGTGAAAAAATAAAGGAAACTAATTTAACTAAAACCAAAAAAAAGAAAGAACCTGTTACTAATGGTACTTCAGATGTGATTTTAGAAAATCAAAACTTTGAAAAAAAAGAAACTAATAAAGAAGAATCTACTAGTGTGTTAGAAATTAAAGAAGAAATTACTTCAAATCAAGAACAGGCTTCTTCAGTTTCTGCTATTCCTCCTGTTAAACCTGATGTTCAAGAAATTGAACCTGTTAAACCAGTTGCTAAGACATGGGCCGGACTATTTTCTGGATGTACTACAACAAACAATGATAAAGTTTTTACACTACATGGTAGTAGTCAACCAGCTACAAATACTAGTTCAGAACCTATTGTTATGCCATCTAGAAGTATTCCTGATAATCCAATCCGGTCTTCAATATTTGTGGCCAATAACCAAAAACAAACATTACTAGCTAAGCCCAGGCCATCTAATCCTAACTCCATATCCAGTGTTGATGATAATACATTGCATTTGCAAAGAGTGGGAGGTAAGTTTTTTCTATTATCTTAATATTGTGAACTTAAAGTTAATGATTTTAATAATTTTAGAATTTCTGTCCGTGTATAATCTGGATCATAAAACTGTTCATCTACAGCCACGAGGTCTTACTAATCGTAATACACGTTGTTATATAAATGCCACATTGCAAGCTTTGTTAACATGTCCTCCTTTTTTCAACCTTATGAGAAGTGTGCAATTTAAACTTAAAAATAGAAACCCTCGAGGAACACAAAAATCATCTACTCCAATTCTTGAGAGCATGTATGTTATTTTTATTTCATATTTATGGAAAATAAATTAATTTTTTTAATTTAAGGGTACAATTTATTGGAGAATTCCAACAATTGAGTGTTAAAAATGGTAGAACTCAACAGCAACGTCAAGCTACATCTGTGGCCCCACAAGAAATGCCTGATGTTGGACCCGCATTTGAGCCAAGCTATATTTATAAAATATTACCATCTTTTGAAGAAGGGTGCCAAGAAGATGCTGAAGAGTTTATGAGTTATCTTCTTAATGGTATTAATGATGAGATGATAGAAGTAAGTCTTGAATTTTTGTTATTGTTGAATTACTGAATTAATGAATATATTTTCAACAGCTGATTAAAATGGGCAAATCTAATATGGGCAATGATGATACACAAGCCGAAGCTGATGCTATTGACAACAATAATGAGTGGAAGGTGAGTTTTAACAATGAATAATTAATATAAATTCTCATTACTATTGATTGTTAACATATTTTAGGAAGTTAATGGTAAACATAAAATGGTAACTAGACGTACAGTAATGGAAAAAACTCCTTTATCTGAAATATTTCGTGGACAGTTAAGAACTCGTACAGTGAAAAATGGTGAAAATGAACCGACTGAAAATATTGAACCATTCTTCACACTTAAACTTGATATTGAAGTAATTGCATATTTTAATATATATATTTAAAAATTAAGTTTAATAGTTTTGTACTAATTTCTAGAAAGCAAAATCTGTACGAGAAGCTTTAGATATGCTTGTCACTAAAGATACTCTTGAAGGATTAACTTGCCCAAAGACAAACCGTGAATTAGATGCTTATCAACAAGTTACTATTGATGAACTACCTTATGTCCTATTATTACATCTTAAATGTTTTGAATACAAACAACAAAAATTGACCAAGATTGTGAAAAATGTTGAGTTTTCTGTTGATCTTAAAATTGAACCCAGTGAGTACTTTTTTATTAATTGTGATGTGAACACATTCCATTTTTCTATTTAATTCAAATCTGGTTTTATATTTAAAGATTTGTTTTTGAAATTTGGGTACATTAATTGACTCATAAGAGTAGCTTTTGAATAAATGTATGGTCTTAAGCTTAGTGTTATGTCATACAAGTATATTATATTTTAACGAACATTATATTGTTATTCAATCTATATAGAAAAGTAATAGGGTCCAACCACATTGTCATCTTTTTGTAGTATTTTATATTTGCTCAAAGAGTTGTAATAAAAATTCTTAGTGGTAAATAAAAATAAATTTTCTGACAGTTGATTTGTGTTGAATAAAAATATCATGTAGTCAGAATAATGAAATTTACAACTACATATATAATTAATATTTCTTTTTAATACATTTTTATAGTTCATGAAATATTAAAAATATGTTTCATGCATTAATTTATATAATATAGAATGCCATTATTTAAGTTAATGTATCTTGAAAACAAACAATTTGGTCATAATTGTAATTAAATAATAACTTTCATAAAGATAATAAATAAATTGTACATTTAATAGTTCTTTTGTATAATTTTATGTATAATTACAATTGCTAAATTTATATTAGCAAATAAAGCTAATTTTTAAGTAATTGTTTTTAAATTATTCAAATTTAAATTATATATTCATTAGGTACTAGTTAATTGTATTTTAAAATTAATCATTAACCCATTTTAAAATAAAAATTATATTTATTTTTATAGAGCTCATATCAAAAACTTCTAAGAATAACATGAAGACTAGGCAGTACAAACTTTTTGCAGGTAATCATTCTTTATTTTTATGATTTTCTGTATTGGGTGTTATAGTAAATGAGCTAAGGTTATAGACACAAGCTTTTTATTTGTGTTTGATAAACTATGTTATATTTTAAGTAAATAATTATCAAAGTGGTGGTAAAGAGTTTTTTTAAATGGGTGTATTATTTTCAGTTTGTGTGTATGAAAATTGTTTACTAGTAAATTATTCTAAAGAAATAATTGATACATTGGTGATTATAAGCTTTACTTCTAACAATTTGATTCCCATTTAGTAAATTTCACCCCATTTTATTTAAGCCGGCTCATAAAACTGCCTGTTGTTTTATGGGTGTGCTAAGAATGGGTATATTATTTTCAGTTGGTGTGTATGGA